GACGAACGTGTATTTTAAGTTCTGATTCTGTGTGTCAGTGGGCACGGGCTGGCGGCGCCTCGCTGGGGAAACGGGCCGGCTTCCTTCGAGATCTCCGACTTCTTCAAGGATAGGTCGCCCTGTTAAAATGTGTTCGGTGGCTGAGTTACCTACCGTGGGTTTCTGCACCCGGCAGGAGGGAAGGGATAGCTGAAAGCTGCCTTAGGCTTTTTTTTTTTTCCCTTTAGGCTTTTTTGTTTTCTTTCCCTGCGTATATAACCGTGATGTGACTGGGAAATTAGCGAAGCTGAAGTACAGATCTGTACTCTAAGCGTGCTGGTGCATGAATCTAATATTTCCGTGCTCTGATTTCTCCGTTCTGTCCTTTGATTTCAGTTAAGCGTGTATACTACCACACGGTCAAACATTGGTGCTGAGAGTAATATAGATCTGGTTTTGAATGTGGAGGATTTTGATATTGAGTCCAAATTTGAAAGGTGGGTGTCTGAACTGTGAGTTCTTTGTTTAATTCTAAAGTTTGTATCCTAACTAGTAGTTACATGTATGGAAGTATGCCTGAAGCACGGTAGACTGTTCGTGGTAGTTATGTTGAAAGAGTAGAGTTGTTCTTGCGTTCTTTTTTTTGGAGTTGAAGCTATTTTTGCATGCTGTACCGGCTATGGAGTTCACACTTGTTTTCATAAAGTAATAACCATATTTGCCGTGTTAAGGCAGGAAAGATGTTAGTTGGATTTCAGCCTTAGAGTTGAGGACAAAGTGCTGCTGTTAATAAAACCAGTATTTTTCTCTTTAATTACAGGTTCCTAGAATATTCAATGAATTAAACATTGGTAAAGCGCCTGCCTTGATGGAGATAGTGTGCTAAGTTCACCTGGCGCTGAGGAATAAGCTCTTAGACAAACTACTCTTGTATTGAAAATGATCTCATAGTTGTGAAAAACAAAGCTTGCAAAACAAGTCTATACTAGTAAATACAGAAATGCTTGTTTCTCTCCTGTACATTTTATAAATCTTGAACACTGTCCTACATTGGCTGTCTTAATTTTCAGATTCCACTCTAAACATCCATCTCACTAGCTGTGCTAGATCAGTAATGTACATATGATGTGCTAAACTTAAGTATTAGTTAGTTTGTATCAGCATACTGTTTTCAGCAGTGTAGACAAATGTTTTATAAAAGTATACTTTGCTTATAATAGTAAAAATGACTTTCAGTTGTGAAAATCTAAGTGAAAGTGCCTGGAAATGCTTGAGACTTTCCTATAATAACACGTGTAGCCAGTCTACTAGCTACATGAAGTTTTGTTCTTCATAGCCGTGGCTTCAGACCTGGAATAGAACTTGGAAGTCAAACTGCGTTCTCTTTTCCTGTGTTTTAGCAACATGCTTTTCTCTAACTGTTTCAGTGCTAATGATCATAAAAGTAAACCTTTTTCTGGTAGCTTGGGGTTTTGAGACCTTCTGAAGGGGTGTTGGTACTAAAATGGAGTAAGACTGTGCCCTTAGACAAATTTCTGAGTATAACAGTGTTCTCTGCATATGCCTCTATACAATAAAATTATTAGAACTACTTGTTTTGTGCTTTGTATTTGCTACCTCACTTTTTTTTTTGTTTAAAATAGTCACTTTATTCTTGACTCTCTTGTCGCAGAGTCTCCCAGGTTGTTTCACGTTCTTGCATTTTCTATAATTAAAGAAGACATTGGTCTGCAGTTTAGGTCGTATTAAACTTCCTCTCTGACAGACTTGAAAATATAAAAACTGTTTTACTGACAGAGTCTGCGAAGCCATTGAAAGTATTCAGAGCAAAATAACCTGAGCAAATTTACAGGAATAGAGGAGGCATTATGCAAGCTTGCAAGTAGGATGATTTCTTGGCTAACAGAAGGGGAGTGACTTCATGGTTTGGGGCTCCTATCTAGAGTTCTGTGCTTGGCATGCCATAGCTGAGAAGATATTTCATTAATGCAAAGTGCTTGTCAAAACTGTTATTTTTTTTTTAAACTTTGTATTATGTATACAAACCATGATATGTATTCAGCACATGGAAGGCTGTTTTCTACAAGTGCTGTGATAATTTTGGCCCTATGACCTATTGGCAGGGGAAAATAACAAAAGAATGGATGATGCAGTCCTGTGTTATCTAGGGTAATAAAGTATGAATTGGACAAAGATTCAAGTATCTTAAGATAACAGTAAAACTTTGGAAGCGCAAATATTGCAGTACATACTGGAGTATATAAATTGATCCCATCCAGCCATAGCTCACTAGGGCATATTAACCAGAACTAGTTATTCTGTGCCAGGCAACCCAAAGGTCACTTCTCTTTGCTTTTTATGTCCCCAACCTTTTTTTGCTTGCTTCCAGAACATCTTCAGTGATCCTTATATGTAATAGCTAAATATTTAAATATGTGCTATGTCATCTCATAATATGTTTATTTTGTATTTTAGGACAGTGAATGTCTCTGTACCAAAGAAAACCCGAAATAATGGCACATTATATGCATATATATTCCTTCATCATGCTGGCATTTTGCCCTGGCATGACGGTAAGCAGGTGCATATAGTAAGCCCTCTGACCACATACATGGTCCCTAAACCAGAAGAGGTTAATTTGCTCACTGGAGAATCAGCCACACAGGTAGGTGGTTTTTCCATCTATAGATTAACAACTGCAAAAAAAGTAATTTATTTCATAGGCACTTCTAGTGTTAGCATCTGCTGTACTTTCATCTTGCCATGGTTTACCCCCAGGTGGCAACTAAGCCCCACACAGCCGCTTGCTCACTTCATCCTGGTGGGATGGGGGAGAGAATCAGAAGAGTAAAAGTGAGAAAACTTGTGGGATGCGGTAACGGCGGTTTAATAGGGAAGGCAAAAGCCATGCGCACAAGCAAAGCAAAACAAGGAATTCATTCACCACTTCCTATCGGCAGGCAAGTGTACAGCCATCTCCAGGAAAGCAGGGCTCCATCACGCGTAATGGTTTCTTGGGAATACAAACACCATCACTCTTGAATGTCTCCCTCCTTCCTCCTCCTTACCCCCAGCTTTATATGCTGAGCATGATGTCATATGGTACGGAGTATCCTTTTGGTCAGTTGGGGTCAGCTGTCCCAGGTGTGTCCCCTCCCAACTTCTTGCGCAGCCCCAGCCTACTTGCTGGTGGGGTGGTGTGAAAATGAGTTGAGGCTAGAGTCCAATAAAAGAGAGAGTAAAAGTCAGAGCAGGTGGTGTTCATCCAAAGAAAAGCAAATGGAATGCGCTGGGGGTAAGGATCTATTGAAAGCTAAAATTGCACTCTTTCAGCACTGCTTTACACAGCTTTTGGAAGCTCAGAAGTTTGAAACAAATGGTCTGATCTTTTTAGTCCCAAAAATTAATATGGTTGATTATCCACATCCTTTTGACCATTTTGAAATAACATCTGATTACAGTCCTTATTTCAAAGTGACTTTTTCTGACTAGTGTCCACATTTGTAAGATATTAAGATTAATTAGCTGAATATTCATTCTAGATGAACAAGGCTGTGAATGGGCACTGAAGTTTTTCAGTGTCAGATTATTTTGGGCCTTTACACCCGAAGTTAAGGTAAAGTGTTTCTTACTGGGCTTCTGTTTTGTGATGTAATTAATGGCTCCGTAGTTTCTGTGAGTTAAGAGTATTATCCTATTCAAAATTCTGTATTGTTTAGCAGTATGTATGTTCATTCTATTTTTAAAGCAAATTGAAGCAAAAAAACAGACCAGTGCTCTAGATGAACCTGTCTCTCACTGGAGGTCAAGATTAACCTTAAATGTCATGGTGGAAGACTTCGTGTTTGACGGATCATCCCTCCCTGCTGATGTTCACCGTTACATGAAGATGTAAGTTGATGACTTAATTTTGCTAGGTTTGTTATTATAGACTTGCTGCACGTTTCCTCAAAAAAATACTCCATGGCCTCCTTTAGTATTTTATGTTTAAATTGGAGCTTAGGAGACAAGAATAGATATTCTTAATGCTTGCATTTCGGTTATGTACTAGAAAACGTGATTGGAGATCTCTTGTTCCTGGGCAGCTCAGAGTTTAGAATACTTTTTTGTAGGGAGTTATCATAGTAAGACAAAGCAGAACTACAAAGGCACAAGTGAAATGCTACCACAGACTTCAGACCCCCTTGTTCTCAGATCATACTTCTGGCCTTTAAGGCAATTACTGTCCCTTGACCTTTCTGGTTATCCTTCATCTGCAAATTATCTGTACAAACTGCAAGCAGTGAAGAGGCACAGCTGATCTTCTATGACATATTTTTTTCTCCCTCTATGATTGGCTTTATTTTACTTTGACAATGTGTGTGCCTACATTATGTAATTTTCTTAAGAAAATACTAAAAAGCAGGGATCGGTTTTTAGGCCACTAAATGCAGGCAGTAGCTTCTGTTCACAGCTTGCTTAAATTACTTCCAGTGTTAACTATATAAATAGTGCTGTATTGGCTTGTGCTGCTGTATGTTGATGCCTTTCTCTACAAGTATCCTGTTAAATGCAGAAGTTGTTGCTTAATCAGCAGACCCTGGGGTTCTGGGATAGCTTCCCAGCCAGAATAGATAAAATTAGGAACTCATAACATAGGCCCATAACAAGAAGAGGTTGGACTGGGGTTGATGAACGAGGATACTTTTTCTGGTCATGTTTAGATATGCATCAGTGCTGTTTTGTCGTTGCATTATACAGGAAATAGTTTGGATATGAAATAGCCTGCTGCAATTCCACTAACAGTAGCTTTAATTGTAGTTACTATATAGAAATCTAAACTTCTTCAGTTAAATAACTAACCAGTATTTCTGAGCCTCAGTTTAGTATTCTTCTATATTACTGTTGTCCATTGTATATTTAGTATGCAGTCTTTTTTAGCATGCCTAGAGAATTCTTTCTTTTGTCAACAACTAAAATTCAATTTTCAGGCTTTAAAAAGCTCTGTTGTGCTAGTTCCATAGACTTTCACTGAGAACATCACTGGATAACTGCCTTTCTAGTGAAGAACTTTTATGAATTTCTCTCTTTTAGGGCATTAGGCTAAATACTTTTCTAAGATACTGACAAAGCAATTGCATATAGGTCATCATTTGCTAAATAACTTTTCAGTGGTCAACTCTGTAGAGGGCTCAAAGGCTGGGAAGTTTCTATTAGTTTCATGCGGGTTGGTGAGGTGGTAGAGCAATCCAAATGAGAGCTTCTGTTGAGGAGAAGGCAGAGGAGATTTCTGCTCCTTGTGCACTCTGTCCAGTAGTATCTAGCATTCCTGTGTGCGTACCAGCCATCTCGTGTTCATAGTCCCATGCTAGCTAGAGCATGTGCTATTGCTGACCTGATAGATGTCGTTGGGCGTGCAGAGGAGTGGGACAGATAGTGGAGAGCTGTCGTTGTTGCAGTAGGAGAGGGATACTTGAGACAAAGGGTATATATGGTAGTAAACTTCAGCACGTTTTTGTTCAACAAACGTTTTAGTTTCCTCTACTCTTGGACATGCAACAGCTTCAGAATCATCACAACCAATTTCATTTGTCTTTTTTTTTTGCTTATTCTGTCTCTAGAGAAAAATAAAAACAAACTAAAAGGAGAAATATGACATGCCTCATTTTGTATACACACATCTCTCAATGAAAGACTGTAGGCTAGTGGCTTCTTTCTTGCTGTGTGTTAAAAGAAAATGTGCCTGAAAAGATGGTGGGAAATACCTACATGGGTAGATCTGAAAGCGATGAATGAATGCTAATTTGAATAAAAGTAGTTTTCTTTTTAGATCACTTCAGTCATAAAATCCATGTTTAAACATCCTAGGGTTCAGTTGGGGAAGACAGTGCATTACCTTCCAATATTATTTATTGATCAGCTAAGCAACAGAGTGAAAGATTTGATGGTGAGTAATAGAATACCTTTAATTACATTTAACAATTTTAACTGTAATCTTCAATGTTGTTTTAATTAAGATTTTGTCATAGGTTGTTTGCTGTAATGAAAAAGTATAAATTCACAAAAGGGCTCTATTAATGACTGTTTAACTTAATGGGGTCAACGGTGGTAACTGCAGAGACTGGATCTGGGTTTCGAGACTCCCCACTGGCAGAAGTATCTGCCAAGAACTCCCTTCTATTCCACCAAAATATATTTGGATTCTCTTGCTTCTGTCTTCTGGGTGGATATGGAGGACATCACTGCAGCACCAGCTGTGGTGGGAGCAGTCTCATGAGCAATTTGACTCCCTAAGCTGAAGAAGTTGTGTTAGCATCCCAGAGCAGCTTCTGATATCTTCTAGGGAAATGAGCATACTGAACACAGCTGATACTGGAGCTACACTGAGATAAGTCAAGTATCTATTCTCTTATCTCCAAAAAATTCACTTGTGGTTAAGTTTTCTGCTGATGGTTTCTATCATGTTGAGCACCTGGAAGCTTGGTGTACATCCAATTATTTTGTGTATTCAAACAAATCAGGACTTAGAAACTTCCCTAATGGAATTACAGAAGGATGAGGTTGGATGAGATTTCTGGAGGTTGCTAGTCCAACACTCCCGCTCATACTAGGGTCACCTAGAGTGAGTTGCTCAAGACCTTCTCCATTTGGGTTATGGATCTGTCCAAGGATGGAGACGCCATAGCCTCTCTGGGCAACCTGTACTAGTGTTCAGTCACCCCTGCAGTTAACAAAAAAAAAAAAAAAAGTGTTTTTACATTTTTACTTTGCTGTATTCAGTTTTTGCCCAGCTCTTCTCTTGTGGGAAATCATGCACTTCCTTTACTACAAGTTACACATGGCAGTCCCCTGCATCTAAACCATGTTCATCTTAGCAGCTCTTGGTTAAACCGTGCAGTTCTTTTCAGTTGCACTGGCTGGAATTTAGCAACTGCAGTTACTGAGAGCAAAAGCCCTGGGGAATGTCTCAAAACTGTTTAAATGAGTATGTCTGGATTCAGCATCTTCTGGGTGGAAGTCTTGGTGGATGTGAGCTTTTTGTAGACCTTTTGTAGAAAGTTGTCTTTCCAATTCATGAACTTTAGCTCAGACAAGGAATTTTGTTACTTATATTGGGGACAATCTTCTTTAAGAACTTGTATCCCCTCCACCCCAAGCTTGTTCAGAAAAAAAAACCTCCTGAGCATTTGTTACAAATCTTGGTAGCAGACAGTTTTGTCCGGTATTTCTTTAGATACACTTTTGCGATGTCTTATCAATGGGCGTTGTCCTTTGTTTTAAGTTTCTTACCACAGCTCATTCAGTTCAGTACATTCATGTGAGCTTCTTACTGGTCATGTACCCTGTTTATAAATAAGCACAGCATTCACGTGTTATTACATAACATTCCTGCAGTTGTCATGCATGCCACGGTAATGCTATTGTAACTGACTGCCTTGAAGTCATTAAAGATCCCGAGAAGTTCTGCAAAGACTATTCCATCAAAACTAGCACACTTCCCCTTCAGCACTAGCTTATGTGAATTCTCCGTAATGACTTGTCAAACTGCTCACGAGCCTTGCAGAAAGCGTGGTCTTATAGTATGCATACTGTGAGATAAGGGTAAGTGAAGAGCAGGAAAGAATAAGGGAAGAAAGTGATACAGCTTTTGTGGAGAAAGGTCAGCGTTTGACTCTAAGTAGGGGGGCATGGACGCTGTCTGTTTGGTATGCCCAACCTAAAGTCATGGAGCTGAAGATGCATTTTCTCTGCTTATGCTAGCCTGTGTAGATTTTGAAGTGACTATTATTTTGACCCAGATATAGGTGTTGTGTGGTAAGTACTGTAGTCTAGAGGTTATGTGTTCCTCGTGTTCCTAAGTGTTCTTGCCAGTGCTGGGGGTTTGGGGATTGCACAGGATTCTGATTTAATAAAGAGAAAACTTTGATACCGCTGAACTTATTTGCTGTGTTTACACACTGTTTTGTAGAACTGATGAAGTGGAGTGCTAGAAGTAATAAACTGATGTTCTGAGGCCATACTACAAGACTAGGTTGTATTGCAGAGGTTTGGTAACTTTCTAGTTTTCAAAGGCTTAGCAAACATCATACTCAGCTAGGTTGTGAGGCAGCACTTGTGGACTCTTAATTGTTCATTGAGAAAGAGTTAAATTCTTCTAATCTTTATATGTTCATTTAATTTGCTTTTGGTTTTGAAGAATTGCTATGTCTGTGTTGTATTGCAATCTGATTTTCTCCCTGCACTACCCCTAACTCCACAGTAGTGCTTTGTCTGTGTAGAGTGCACTTGCTGCATGTTACTTACCCATGCATTTGCAAAATTTTTGTTTTCTATCTGTTCTGCACAGATAAAACTTCTTTTCCTTTCCTCCCAGAAATGTTGATGCTATCTTTGATAGACTGAGAAATTGGAGTAAGAATGGAGGGATTACAGGTATCCTTTAAAAAGAGGAAGAAGCCTGGAAGATATTTATGTAGCTTTTGCTGTACAGCTGTAGAATCTCACCAGCACTCTTTACCACATTGTTTTCATGCTGTTTCATTGTTGGTGTTTTTTTTTTAACAGACAGTTCCGAGATCACTGGCACTGTTCTAGTTTCTCAAGCTTTCTCCCTGCTGTATTTATAAAACTTTCTCATCTTCCTTTTCTCTCACTTGCACGCATGCGTATTCTGCTACTGTCTGAAAAGCTTGTAGAGTCTTGGGAGGGTGGTGAGATTGAGAATTGTTTGTACTCGCTGGAGGAGAGAGTGAATTGGAGAGTGAACGTAATCCTAAATTCACACTCGACTGATATGTGGGGAGGCTAAAACCGTGTTCTGTTACATAGGGATCAGAAGGAGCCTATTCATCTCAGATAGGTGTCAGCTAACTAATTACTGTAGAAACAGATACAGTGTTGAGTAGCAGTTCTGAGATGGGAATTATTATCAGGTAGTCATTAGGAGCTGGGAGCAATAGAATCTTGAACTGTTGCAATTCAGAGTGTCTGTCTGCAGTCTTGAGCTATCCTTAAAAGTTTAAAACATACTGTCGGAACTTGTACCGAGATAGTTGTGGAGAATTGTAACATCTGTGAGGACATTTTTTATTTGTTTGTTTTAAACTTACTTGAGAGACAAGTCACCTATCATGCAGAAAGAGCTGAGGCAATTTAAGACTTTTTTTTTTTTCCAGCTTAAGGGGGCCCCAGGTAGTTTTCATCCTAAGATCTAGAAGATACAGGAGGGTTAGCTGAAATTTATTTCTGTTGGAGCGGGAAGGTTTCTGTGACACCCCATATCCCAAGTTTTGCAGGCAAGGTAGCTTGCTTCGCTTTAGCTGTGGTGTTTTCCCCAGTCCAAGCAAGTGGGGTCATCTTGCTTCCCCACCTTTTGTTTTGGTATGAGTTGTTATAACTTTAATTTCTCTCAAAAAGAGCCTCAGTTTAGTAAAGTTCTGACTGTGGCCTTTGGGATATGATTTTTTTTTTCTTTAAATCTTCTAGTTTAGGTAATCTTAGTATATACATTCAGAAAAGAACTGTCAAAAGAGAATTACCTTAAGCACACTTTTTCCACTTGAGCTAAGACCAGCAGAGGGAACTGTATGTAAACATCTCAGAGGCATTTATGTACAATAACAGTGAGGTTGCTATAAGAACTTGGACAGAACAACGTGCTAATTTAGCATTTCTTGGGAAAAACTCCCAAAGGCTTCAAGCATAGTATAGAAATCTAGTACGTTATTCCCTTTCAAAAAACAAACTGACCTCCAAAAACTGTGTGATTAAGTCATAGCGTGATATAATAACTTTCCTTTATTTTTAAAAAGATAAATAGAAATAATTGTGCAATTTTTCTGCTATTAAAAATGAAACTATTTTTGAAATTACAGGTTATAAATCGTTCAACAACAGAGCTACCTCTGACAGTGTCATATGACAAAATATCTCTTGGAAAACTCCGATTTTGGATCCACATGCAGGATGCTGTGTATTCCCTCCAACAATTTGGTATGTTTTTATCTTTAATGACTTCAGGCAAAAAAAAAACACCCAAAAATCACTTTTGTAAGTACATAGATGACACTTAACACTTTTTTTTTTCTGGTTAGCTGCTACAGATCTTACGTTACATTACCTTAAGGTAAAGATGGAAATGAAATGTTGACGTGTGGTAGGAAACAAGAATACAGAAGTGAATTAACAATTTTTAAATAAATTTTATTTGGATAGTACTACTTTAAAAGCATAAGAGGCCAAAATAGAGGAGAGAATTTTCGCAACAGGTTTCCCCTGTCATCCATGGAACAGAAAAGCTGGATTGGTGTTACGTAAGCTTTGATATAAGCTACATATACCTGGTCACTGTAGCCATATACCTACAGTGAAATATAGGAAGGCACAGCAAAGTCTTTGGTCTCAAGCTGAGCGTGAAGAAGGAATCTGGGTTCTCATACTGCTTCTGACAATTCAGCACTGGCTGGCCTCTCACTTCGGCTCAGTTACAAATTTATGCAGTAATTCAGGTAAACTGGAGGCTTTACATGCATGAAACTACTAAATTCTGTGTTTCACTTAAATGTAATGGAGTACATGTACACTTTCACTCTGAAGTTCATATGTTCTGTGTTGGTAATGGTATACCTGAACTTTTACTGTCTTTAAATATTTGTTCCACTGATGCACACCTTTGTGAGTCTAATCATCAGTCTTAAAAATCCGCATCTTATTTTCAGGGTTATCTTTGCTGACTTAGTTTTCTCTCGCTATGCTGTAGTTGGCTTCTTTATGCTAGAGTAAGGAACTACATCATAACTGAGCTGGTGTTGATGTATATGTATGTAGGATTTTTTCTGATCCTGTCTTTTTAAGCTCTTCAGACAGCAATTTGAACTTTTTTTCAGGCCAAAAGATCTTAAAAGCTTTTGTGCTCTATTATTTTAATGATTTTTAAATCCTTCTCAGTTTATCTTTTTAGTGCAGATAGAAGCAGTATTCTACTATTTTCCCAAGAGACGTATGCAGGGGTAATGCTGCTTCCATACTACTCAGTGGTAGTCTTTGTTCACCGAAATTTAGTCAGTAAGAGGGAGAGGGTTTGGTTATTCACTGTCGCCTCTGAATTAATGTTTTATGATGGACAACTTAACACTTAAGGCATTGATTCCTCTGAAAGGAAAAAAAAAATGTTCTGGTTCAGCACTAGTTTTAGAGTGTAGTATTGTAAGACACAGTACCTGTATGCAGTGTAACTTAACTGAGAGTCTAGACTTTCTGCAGTTCTTTTGCAGCTTAAGCTTTTCTCATGTTTTGTTGGGGATGGGAGGGTGGGTAAGGAATAAGGTCATCCCAAGTAGAATCCAGCTGCTGCTTCTTAGCTCAGGCTAATGTATATCGAAGCTACAATTATGCCTGCTTAAAATACCTGTCTTGAAAGAATCAAGTAACCACTTGCTCCAAATTCGTGTGGGACATTTGACTACCATCTTTTCTCCGTAAATTTTTGTGAGCCTCTTCAGAATGGCATAATTGAAATTTTCATGTTCCATGTCTTCGCTGTCTTGTGGTGGACACGTATACCAAGACGTATCATCCTAGGAGTACCTCTTCTGCCTGGGAAAAAAAACTTACCTAAGATGCTGTTTTTTCCTCTAAGTATGCAGATAGTGAAATGTAAGGTTTGGAATGTTCCTTTTCGAATAACTTATCAAAAGGTCTCCTTAGAGTAGCAAAACTGGAAAATCTTTTGAAAGTTCACACTATTCTTGCTGTGATGCAGGACAGTTGATGTGACAAAGTAAATTGGTACTGAACTCACCAGTCTCATAACCAGCACCATTGCTGTAAATGCAGCATTGTGTATTTTCTGAGAACAGTAGACTTCGATCACAGTGGCTTCTACTTCATGAAGAAAGCATCTTAACACTGTCTGAAGGTGTTCGAAGAGGTGCTGTATATTCTGGAAAACACACTCCTTGGTCCTGGCAACCATATTTATCATGGACAGGCTCTAACTTTTTTTGAATTAATGGTTGTCCAGTATATAACAAGAAAGCAACATTCCTCCTTTAGGAGAATTGATAAGACAGTAGAGAATATTTATTCGGCTTACAGACTGTGATTTGTGGAAGATGCTTTGCCTTTTTCTGTTTATCAGAGAGAAGCTTCCAAGTTAATTCTGCAAGGACTGTCAAAAGAAATGATACCTAATCCATGATCTGGGGTCTATACTGTTGCATATATGGCCATGTTTCCCACTGACCTTTGTTTCCTCCACAGTGTAGTCCTTTTTTCATTTTTCATTTTCCAGTGTGAAGCTCACCTTTCTTATGTATCCAGTAAAAGCTCAGAGGCCAAGTTGAACAATCCTTTTTCTTCCCACTCAGGCCAGAATGACTTCCTCTGGCTTGGCTTTTGTGTCTCTGGTGTTCAGCTTGGGTTGTAGTTACACAGCCTGTTAAAGGCACATCAGTCTGTTTGCTGGATTTTTTTTTTAAGGCAAGCCAAATAACTAGCCAAAATATAGGTAGACTTGGGTTTTACCAATAAAGCTGCCATCTTGGTTTGGATTTATGATTCCTTAGTAAAACATGTGCAGGTGAAATAAGATTCCTTTCATACTAGGCTCTAGCATAACAGCAATTAACTGCCTAGTACTTCTTGCATAATTACTTGTTCTTTCTCTTAGGGTTTTCAGAAAAGGATGCAGATGAAGTAAAAGGAATTTTTGTTGATACTAACCTGTACTTTCTGGCTTTGACGTTCTTTGTAGCAGCATTTCATGTAAGTGGAGAAACTCTGTTTTGTAGCAATTGGGGGTGGGGAGGGGCAAAAAAAAAGGGGGGGGTGGGTTGATCTTCAACTTTAATTTATTAGGAACTGTTCTTGGAAATAGTAATTTCTGTAGAGCAATAGAAGTTGTTTCTGGTACAAGTCAGCTGTATTTCCAGTACCAAGTTAATATAAAAATGTCAAAGAAGATAGAAATATGAGATAACTAGGTATAAACTAAACAGTCTTGACTGAAATATAAAATACTTAACTTCATTAGCATTCCTTTTTTTTTTTTTTTTAAGATGAACCAAAGCACCCAGAATTAATATGCCTGTCAACATCAGTTCACATTTTCTGCTAGGCTGAGTTATCACAAAGTTTACTGCTGCAGTGTCTTAGCTCAGGCACCAACAGTAGCATTTGAGTCTCTGACTTATGACTCAAAAAATTGTCACTGTAAAGTGCAGAGCTTGTGGTTCTAGGCATGGTTGGTTGGTGTTGTGTCTCTCTGTCAGCTTTGTGAGTGTCTTGGTTTAAATACGAATCTTCTGTTTTAATGAACAATTTTTTTAGACTTCATTGTTCTATTTTGAACATTTTTGTCATCTACGGTTACGCTCAATCCAATTTCCATATTCTGGGATACATAAGAAGTTGCTGGGAACGTTATATTTCTTTATATTTACAGCACATAAAATTGATTTGGTTGGAAATCGTTAGACTTCCCAGGCATTTTAACTTTTTTTTTTTTCCATTCTGTTTATTAAGTTGTAAGGTATCTGTAGGCTGAGACTAGCTCTTCTGATTTTTTTTTTTTTCCTTTGGTGCATCATTTGCCCGAATTAAAAAAATATATAATTTTTTCATATAAAAAATAATTTCTTGAATCTGTGCTGATTTTTTTTTTTTTTTTTTCTTAAGACAGTGAATGCTTAAAAGAAAGGCTGAAAAATATCCTGGGAGCCAAAAGGGCAGACTGCATTCTGGGGTACATATTAAGCACAACATAACCAGCCAGTCAAAAGACGTGATTATCGTGCTGTATTTAACATTGATGCGGCCTCACCTTGAGTACTATGTGCAGTTCTAGGCCCCACAATTTAAGGGGGGTGCGAAGGTACTCGAATGTGTCCAGAGGAGGGCAACAAAGCTGGTGAAAGGGCCGGGAGGCATGTCCTGTGAGGAGCGGTTAAGGACTTTGGGTTTGTCTAGTTTGGAGAAAGGAGGCTGAGGGGAGACCTCATTGCTCTCTGCAGCTTCCTGAGGAGGGGATGTGGAGAGGGAGGTGCTGAGCTCGTCTCCCTGGGGTCCAGTGACAGGACTTGTGGGAATGGTTGAAAGCTGCACCAGGGGTGTTTAGACTGGAGATGAGGAAGCCTTTCTTTACTGAGAGGGTGGTCAAACACTGGAACAGGCTTCCTAGAGAGGTGGTCGATGCCCCAAGCCTGTCAGTGTTTGAGGCATTTGGACAAGGCCCTTAATAACATGCTTTAACTTTTGGTCAGCCCTGAATTGGTCAGCAGTTGGACTAGATAATCGTTGTAGGTCCCTTCCAATTGAAATACTCTATTCTGACCATCAGTACTGAAAACTCTGGAAAAAATGCTCAGTACAAATAAACTTAATGCTAAAACATCTTTGAAGTTAGGATCAACTTCTTGGTGATGAAACAGAGGAGAAAATTACTTGCTGTATTTTAGGAATTTTTAAAAAAAGTTGGTACTATCCAAGCATAAATTGACTTGATCCAATAAAAAGGACTTTGAATCTAATTCAGTGTGGCTTTCCCTGATCTGTCAAGGAGGTGAGTAGTTCCTCAGGGTCCTCAGTTCTTCATCACTCTATCACGTGTTACCCTGTATTGGGTCAATAACTTTCTTTACCAGATGCAGCATTGTAGTAGTAGCAGTACCTGGAATTCCTCCTGTCATTTTGCACTACTTCTGGAGCTTGGGCTTTGAAAACAGTTTTTCTTTTTAGCTTTTATTTGTGGTATTTAATTTTTATTTCTTAATAAAAAATTAATTTTTGGCAATTCCATCTTAAAGGCATTTTTCAGTTCAGCTGGTAGTTTTAACTAGTGCACATTTGAACAAATGAGTGTGTTTCTTGCTGTTTGCAGCTTCTCTTTGATTTCCTTGCCTTTAAAAATGACATCAGTTTTTGGAAGAAAAAGAGGAGCATGATTGGGATGTCTACAAAAGCAGGTATGGGCCAGAATGCAAAGCATTGTGCATGTGTTATCTAACATATACTGTGACTCTAAGTTGAAACTTTGTAGATTGAGCAAGATGGCAAAATGAGATGTGTTTGTGTATGAAAGGAAGATGGCTAACAGGCTGGTTCAAACTTTGTTAGCATTGTGCTCAGGTGTCACTTGCTTTTAAGCACTGGTGTTACTTCTGAGGTTTGACTGTCTTACAATTGAGAATAAGTTTAATACTAAGTCACCAGATTTACTTTGCTGAAGGAACAGAAAAATACATTGATAAAAGAATAAGGACCAGAAAAAAATCCCATAGGTGAAAAGAATGTGCTTTCACGGGTAATGCTGTGCTGCGAGTCCCATGTGTTCCGTGTAGATCACTGCAGGTTCCAAAATATTCGGGAGGGAAAACTCCGTAGTGTAAGGCTGTTGTTTGACTTGGGCTTTGGTGTAAAAAGGAGCAGTAGAAGCTCTGGGGCAGGAGAGAGTGTGGGAGGGTTGAGTTGACTTGGATGTAGGAAAGATGAGAGAAACATAGCGGTCTGATATCCTGACAAGCCTTCCTAGAGACAGATGAAGGTAGTAACCAGCCTGGACGCTTGAGGTTTAACACACCACTCCCCAGCCTTCTTTATTGTGCTAATACTTACTGCTTGTTTTTCTAATAGATTTTTCCATTCTGAATATAAATCAAAATGATAAAGCTGGAGTCACTTGGCCCCTCAGGCTATCCCTAATTCTATCATACATATACAGATCGATTAAAATGTCAGGAATATCAATACCATGAAAATATTAGGCATTCTAAATTATGATGAACAGCAATGTCTTTTTCTCATGTGGAAAACCGGTTTATCATCTTTATCGGAGTGCCTTTGTTTTTGTAAGGTGTTTATACTGCTTAGTAAATAAGGTGTTTATAACTGCTGTTATGCATACATACAACAATATGTTGTTGTATGCCAAGAAGTGAGGAAAAATTCAAAATGCTCCATGCAATTTCAGAATTAACTGTTAATTTCCAGTTTAAAAAGTGAGTAAAATAAAATTGGAAAGACTGAGTGACAAAGGATTTTTTAACCTTACTATTGAAGTATCAATTTTCAATCTTTGTCACCCTTCTGCCTGCATCTCCTCCTTGCCCTGAGGGAGAAGTGCAACAGGCAATTGCTTTGGAATGGTACAGTGTAACTGTTGATGGCTGAGTGTGGTGTAGCTCTTCTCCCTTTCTGTTCCTGCTTAGGGGGATGGATCTTCGTATCTAAGAATTAGTTGTAGACACTTATAAGCATCCAAGGTTTCGCAAAACATGAAAAATAACACTAAAGAATACTTTTTAATATTTACAAACATTAAATTAGTTGGATGACTTTCAAAGACTGACGTTACATTATCTCACAGCCTTTCAGCTTCCTTGAGACAAGAATCATGAACATAGTTCATAATAGTACTGAACATTGCTGAATTGCTGCAGTATAGAAGTCATCTTTAAATATTCTGATTTCTTTTAATCTTTTGTGATAAGGATTTCATAACATGTTTTTGTTCTTTATTTGCCTGGAGGTATACAGATCACTGGCTGTTTCTAAGACTACTTGGTATATCAAGATGTATATAGGAGAAGTGCATGCTTAAACTGCGTAAGACAGGATTATAGCAAACAGGCCAACAGTCTTCTGTCATCTCAGCTGTTCATTTAAATATTAATAAGCCTTTCATTGTCGTTTTTTCTATCTAGTGCTCTGGCGGTGCTTTAGTACTGTGGTAATATTTCTTTTCCTTTTGGATGAACAAACAAGTTTATTGGTACTGATCCCAGCAGGCATTGGTGCAGTGATTGAGGTGAGTTCTTAAAGCTCTGCAAATTACTGCAAATACCAGTATTCGCAGCAACATCCAGAGTTTATTGTAGAAAAAGAATGCTAAACCAGTTACTGGAAAAATACTGCTGTTGGAGTATGCTGTCTTAGCAGCATTGTTTAACTGGCTTTCAGTGGTAGAAGAGATTGTGTCCCCGTATCAGATAACTAAACTAGAAGTATCGGGTTTTTCTGGGATGGGCCAGCTGGTATTGTGGAAACCAAACATAGAGCTATGCTGAGGTTCCTTCCTGTCACATCATCTGATAGGCATCACTCCAGACCAGGCATGTATAACCATGTCAACAAGCCTTCACAGAAATACATGTCAAAGAGCAGGCTGTGTGCCATCAGACAGAGCTGCAGGTCTGCAGCTTTCTCCCTGGCCATGACTGAGGTGCTTGGGGAAGGAGGGAAAGGAGGACACTGCTGTCTGTGTTCGTTGTTCCAGCAGATCATGTCCAGTTAGCACATTGCAGGTACTGCTTAGAACCTGCAACAGTAATGGGAAGGGGAGAGATCTCTACCTAGCATTGCTTGCAGATCTAAGTACTTCTCAAGTATTTAAAAATAAGTTCAGGATTCTCAGTGTGGAATTTTGGCTACACATCTGTTACAGTTGCACATAGTCCCTGTGGAAAAAAACAGTTCAGAATTTTTAGTTAGTGACTAAATTGTTGAATGAAAGTCACAAAGCAATCCTTAAATTTCAGCTTATTCTATAAGACAGATTAAGGTCTTGCACATACTATGAACTGTGGTGTCCTAAACATTTTTAAAAATGTAGCATTATTTCTCAGTAAGTTGAGATTTTTAACTCTGATGTATTTCTGTGTTAAGTTTTCTGTATCAGATAAGCCAGTGTTTTTGTTCCTATAAATAGAAAATTAGTCTTATATTTCAAACTTTAACTGTCTGAAATTTTAACAGTTTCAGGAATAAATATATATTCCTATAAATATGCTGCTCCTTTTGTAGAACACGTTTTATTTTGATCCTATACCTAAGTAACTAAATTTTAAAAAATCCTTGAATCTAAAGACTTCAGAAATTCAAAAGTGTCAAATGACTTAAAAATTTATTGGGTCAAGAAAAATTATGTGGGGAAGAAATAGCCCTGGTCTCTAAATCACCACTTTTTTTTTTTTTGAGAAGTTTTGGTGGAAACCAGATCAGACATGTATGGTAGGGTAACAGGAATGATCAGCTATGCTACAGGATTTAAGTTCAATTAAAACTGTAAAGATTCGGCATTTCTCTTTTATGAAGATGGATTTCTCAGTTACCACTGCCTAAGAACAGGCAGATCCAGATCTCATTTGGTTGTTGTGCCTGTCTGAGATTCTTCTTGGGGCTGCCCAAAGATCTGCTATATACATCTCTCTCAGATCTGTAGTCCCTATGACTGTTTGGCTCCTATCATCTTTCTCATGTGCTTTATGTTCCAGTATGTTAGTTTGGATTGCACGCTGGGGGAACTGGTTTGAAAGGATTATATAGGAACACCGTGTGGGACACTTAAACGGAAGACAAATGTTCTGTAGGTTCTGTTGAAGTAACATATCTCTCCTCTCAAGTGATGATGAGATAACATGGTTGTCTCAAGGTGAGAATGAACATAAGGACTATACATTTCAAAGGAACTTGTCTGCTGAGAAGAGTTTTTTCACAACTTAACTTTTTCACAATTTTCACAACTTGTTTTTCACAACCTGTTAAGAACAGGTGTTCTTAACACCTGTTTCTCATGCAGTACTAATAGTGACATTGCTTCTGTAATAAGTAATTTTCTTGCCTGCATCAAAGATGGCAGTAAAGGATCATCTTTACTGTATTGCGCTTTTTTGTTTGGAAGATATAACAGGTGAGAAGAGAATATAGGTGTATCTAAAGCTAAACAAACCAACCTTGTCCACAAAAAGCTTCATGGAGTATGGAGCTCCTGGTGACCTTGCTGCATTGCCTAAGCTGTTCAGTCTGTATAGCAGCATAAGTACATGAGTAAATTTTCAGGTGCAGTGAAACTTTGGTTACATTAAGGTCAGCCTATTGCAGCTGTACAGTAAATAGCCAAACAATTCAGTGTATTCACTGAGTTTTGCTTGTAACCCACTACTGAAATGTAATGACCATGTAAAGTGCCTACTTAATTACTGGTAAGGGTTCTAAGGCACCTTCATCTTGCAGTTCCCAGCTGACCTCGAAGGCATGTAAAAACTTGCTTGGCAGGTGGTTACTGGAGAATTCTCTAAATGCTTGACCTGGGGTGCATGCTGGTGCTGAGAGCATCTAACCGCCCCCCGCCAAGTGCTTCAATCCAGATATCCTGGAAGGACTACCTTATTTCACTTAAAGTACATCATCTGATATGGAGACATGCACTAACATGTACCCAAAGTTGTACTTGTCTGGTGGCACAGTATTTAGTTTGCATAGAGACTCAGGCAGTGTGCTGCAATCATGCTGTTGCTGCTTTATATGATGGGTGCTTAAAGCAGATATTCTGGGGTCTTGATTATGAGTATCTGAATCCTGCATAAGACATTCCCCTGGACAATTCTTTATGTCCGCGTTTTGTTTTTGCTAATTACAGCTCTGGAAAGTGAAGAAAGCTTTGAAAATGACAATCAAGTGGCAAGGCTTGAGACCCAAAATTCAGGTATAGTAGACGTTGGCCTGTTAATGATTACATTCCTGAGCTTTCCATATATTTCCAGGTTACTGTGCACCTTAGCTTTCAGTGAAATAAAGATTAAAAAAAAAGTTTCATATGTACATCTTCTCTTTATGTACAGCTTAATCCAAAAGCTGGATGAGCATTTTCAAACTTAGGAATTTCTTTGAATTCTGTAGAAGAAAAAGCTATTTGTGTGTGTATTTATGGTGTGAGAAACTTCAGAACTCCTCTGTCAGTCCTGCTAAATCCTAACGGGTGGGACTATGCTCTGCCACTGTGTTGGAAAGGCACTCTTAACTGGCATCATGATTTGAAGTAAGAAACTGAATTTTTCATGAAGCCGTAGATATAACTTCTCCATTGTGGAACTAGTAGATGATGTGACATGTTCTGGGGACAAGATGGTCTTTGACAAGTAAAAATTTAAGGGTAAAAATTTAAGTCCCAAGACTGTTTGCAGGACATGCAGAGGCAGCTGGAATTCAAATTAATACTTTTTAAAGTACAGTCTCCATTGAAAGTTTCCCTTGTTGGTAGGAGAAACAGTTGCCTAATCTTCAGAGTTTACTTTGCAAGAAGTACTGGGGTTTTAGTGCTGCTTGAAGTCTGTGCATCGTGAGTGGCTCGTAGATCTGGTTGTTCCTTTACCAGTATTCAAGGAACTGAGTTCAAGCAGTCACAGTTTCTGGAGACATGGAGATAATCATAACTGACGTCTTCATGCATGAAAATGGTTATGGATTCTAATAATGGCTTCCTGTATCTGCCAGATTCTTAGCCACTTGACTTCACTTTTGCATTGTGAACTCTGCTGTGTCAACAGCATTTTCCTAAGCAAAGAAGTCCTGGATGTTTGATGTAAAATATGAAGAGAAAAATTAAACTTCTTGCCTAGGACATTTATATGACTCTCCTGTATAGAAGCGTATAAGGACTTTGAACTGTTACCTAGCTTAATGTCTAAGCAGTTAGTTTGCAGTTTAAGTCTCTGTTGAGGGAGTTGGACAGCGAGTGCTTTTTCCCCCAGTTCTGACTTGATTGTACATTTTATATGTATTGCAGTTTGGTACATACAATGATTCTGAAAAGAAGACTGAGGAGTATGATACCCAGGTAAGAGGGAATCCTGTGACTTCTGTTCTGTAAAGTCTATATATGTGGCCTGCTGATTGACATGTTTCACTTTTTATTGATAACGAGTGCATTTTCCATTTTCTCATAGTTTTCAAGTGGATCATCATTATGTGGGTGATCAGATAGTGAAGATTCATTCTAACAATTTATGAAAAGAAAGTGAAAGAGTTGTTTATTAGGTGAATCTGGTTGAAACATTTCTCTGAGAAGCAGAATTGCAAGTGACTTATCTGAAGAGAAGTACCTTAAAGGATCTTCATTCACAAATTTGAACATTTATATTTGTACTTGTTATTTACACTGGAGGCATGTTCATGTGCTTCCTGATTTCTGGAAGAAGTTGAAGAAATCAGGAAGTTAAGCAGAGAGCTGATTCTTGTTGCTTATGCTCTAAGGCCCTTGGTGGTCTGAACTGAGCATTGGAATTTTCACCATTTTCTCTAGAACTGGAAGCATATTGGAAATAATAGACATTTGGAAATAGGAAAAGATTTTCAGGAAGAAAAATTATGTAACTGTCTCCTAGTTAATGCCATGACAAATCTGCTGTATATAAAATGGAAGCTAACAAACTATTTTCGTTGTCTGTTAGGCTATGAAATACTTGTCATATTTGCTCTATCCACTGTGTATTGGAGGTGCAGGTTACTCCTTGCTGAATGTCAAATACAAAAGGTACTGTGAATCTATAAACTATCTTACACAGAATTGAAACGTTTCCTCTTTTCCCCATATTAATTAATTGGAGATGATGGGTTATGGAATTCAGTTATTTTGTTTTGCTTGATTTGTAAGCTAGGAACTGGAAACATCCATGTTCTGTATGACCCAAAGCTGAAACGTCTAGCTGGGTTTTTTTTAACATCCTGTAAGCTACAGGCTGTTGTATTTAGCAAGTAACCTGATAATTACTGTAGTATAGAATTCAGTAGCTTACATACAAGAGTAAGCTGTGAATCAGAAGAGGAGGAAGAAAGCTACCATTGATGTTCAGAGAACTGATAAAAGTGACAGGAGAGGTGAGAAGAATTCAGTGGTTAAACCTGTCCAGTAAGATAGAAGCAAAAACTGTCCCAAAATGACTTGCTCCGACCAAGGTGTTCCTCTTGGTCAATGGCTCAATGTCCAAATAGAGATCAGTGATGAGCAGCGTCCCTCAGGGATCCATACTGGGACCAGTACTGTTTAATATCTTCAGTGACATAGATGGTGGGATCGAGTGCACCTTCAGCAAGTTTACAGACAACGCCAACCTGAGGGACAGCATGCCATCCAGAGGGACCTGGACAAGCTCAATGAATGGGCCTGTGTGAACCTCATGAGGTTCAACAAGGCCAAGTGCAGGGTCCTGCACCTGGGTCAGGGCAACCCCCAGTATCAGTACAAGCTGGGGGATGAAGGGATTGAGAGCAGCCCTGCCAAGAAGGACTTGGGGGTACTGGTGGATGAAAAGCTGGACAGGAGCTGGCAATGTGTGCTTGCAGCCCAGAAGGCCAACCATATCCTAGGCTGCATCAAAAGAAGTGTGGCCAGTAGGTCAAGGGAGGTGATTCTGCCCCTCTACTCCGCTCTAGGGAGACTACCTGGAGCCCTGCGTCCAGCTGTGGAGCCCTCAGCACAGGAAAGACATGGACCTGTTGGAGAGGGTCCAGAGGAGGGGCCACCAAAATGCTCAGAGGGATGGAACATCTCTCCCATGAAGAAAGGCTGAGACTGTTGGGGTTGTTCAGCCTGGAGAGGAGAAGGCTCCGGGGAGACCTTATTGCAGCCTTCCAGTGCTTAAAGGGCGCTTCTAAGAAAGATGGGGACAGACCTTTTAGCAGGGCCTGTTGTGACAGGGCAAGGCGTAATGGTTTTACACTAAAAGAGGGTGGATGTAGACTAGATAGAAGGAAGAAATTTTTGACAGTGAGGGTAGTGATACATTGACACAGGTTGCCCAGAGAAGTGGTAGCTGCCCCATCCCTGGAAACCTTCAATGTCAGGTTGGAAGGGGCTCTGAGCAACCTGGTCTCATTGAAGGTGTCCATGCCTACTGCAGGGGCGTTGGACTAGATGATCTTTAAAGGTCCCTTCCAACCCAAAGCATTCAATGATCCTATGATTCTCTGTTCCTAAATATGATAGCTAGGATAGCAAGCAAGCAGTGCATTTTTAAGAAAGGACTCTCTATTCCTTTAGAGCCATGGGCTTACAGCAACAGATTGATACTTTAGCAAGAGCTGAAGACTCAGTATTTCTTTCTCAGAAAAGGTGAAACTCCTGTCCACTTTCACTCCAAATAATACAGCTAGTTCATTTTGTATTGGAGAGATGCTAGCAAGTATGCAGCCGTGAGACTGTTGTAGAAAAAATCTGCAAACGCAAGCATGGTGATGGCCATGTAGGCATACTTTTTAATAGTCTTTAGGCCCAAAACAGAGACCAGGCAGTGGCTTAAAATAACATCAGAAAGAACTACTGTTGCTGCATACATGGGATGTAGCAGTTGTACTAGAAACTGGGACAATTTCTGGGCTATCAGACAAATAATTTTTCAAAGTGTTCTTGTAATAAGGAGCTAACAGATATGCAGCATTTAAAAATTCTGCTTTTCTAACAAAATTCTTAAATTAATTCAGTACTGCAAAATATTATATGCCAGGTGTTCTATGAGCTGTAGCTTAAGAAAGTGACAACAATTGATATCATAGAATTTTTATTATTGTTAAATCTATTTGTAAGGAAACGTGATGAAACAAGTAATCTTAACAGGGAATGATCCTTTAATCTTGCAGGCATTTTCTGATACATTTTTTAGATGCTTGTGGATTAGTGAACTGCTGCTACAACTGTAATGTTGCTATTAACAAGTCACTAACAGAGCCTTGCAAGTTTAATTGATGTAACCTGAGCATCACAGTTATTAGCTGTTCTTACTGTCACAAGCACAAGCATGGAATTTGACCACTATCTGTAACAGTACTGCTATGTTGCTAAGATTGTGTTGCATTTTAAATGTGAGGAGGGGAAAATGTACATTCCTTGTATTTACCTTTTTTTTTTTTTAATGCCTACTGTAGTGGTTTGCACCGAATGGTATATGTTGTTTGAAATTATTTAAGCCCTTACAATGCCATATTAAGTGTCTCTAGGATTTAGAATACAGTCTTACCTTTGCGAGCCTTAATACAGCCAGGGTTCAGTGCGCTGTATTATCTGATGTCATTTTGGGTGCAGAAGTCTTAGAAGGTCCTGAAAAAGTACAAAAGCAGTTGATAAAGCTCTCCAAGCTTGTTGGATGCACTGATAAACATCCTTTGCTTAAGCTGTTAGCACTTTCTCAGGAGTCCTTCCTAATCAAAGGAAGATGTGAGGTGTTTAGTTCTTGTGTGAAGTAATTCACAACATAGCCATTTGTTGGAGTAGTCAGCATACAGTCATGTAGAGGATGTGTTATAGGTATATATTTTTGGATGAGGTGAAAAGATAACTGGACTGTCCTCTCTGTTTGTAGCTGGTATTCCTGGTTGATTAACAGCTTTGTCAATGGTAAGTCCCTTATGTTTTTTTCTATTCATATTTCTTCAAATGGAGGCCAAGACTCAAAAGTAGAAAATTAACTGCTATCAGCTGGATCAGTGTAACACAGAGCAATAACTTGACTGTAGGTTCCAAAATTATCACAGAGATTTGATTGAGAAAGGGAGAAGAATCAACCCAAAGTGAAACAAAAGGATTAGACGCAGCTTCTCTCTTTAGAAATATTAGTGTAAATCTCTAATTGTGAAAGTATAGTTGTGTGGTGTACTTCTTGTGCATTTGGCTGTAAGTTTTCCATCTTTTATCTTCAGGAGTGTATGCTTTTGGATTCCTGTTTATGCTGCCCCAGCTGTTTGTAAACTACAAGGTAAGATTGAAAAGTGACAAAAGACTACTTTTTTAGTCTCTTCTTCCAGAATTTATTACAAATTGATATTTTTAATCCTAGATGAAATCTGTTGCACACTTACCATGGAAGGCTTTCACATACAAAGTAAGTAAAGCTCTAACTTAAATCTTTGTGCAGTCACTTTGGAAATAATTTTCTGTGAGAAACAGCAGTATTATGTAGCTTAAGGCTGACAGTGCTTTGTTTCTTTGTTTTAAGAACTGAATTGACAGTAAAAGAAAATTTGTTTGCAAATGTATATTAAAAAAAGTAATATTGATTTCCATTTTTCATAATGATTTACATGTAATGAGAATATCTGCATCCTAGTTTTGATGATAACATTGTTTTTTCTGCTGTCAGCTGTCTTGCATGGGTGCAGATGTTGGTCCTGCAAATAAACTAATTAGTCTCAATTTAATATATTATTTTAGGAAGAGAGAGATTCTATTAACAAAGGATAGTTATCAAGAAACAGATAGGACCACTGAGAGACCTTATTTGGGCAAGTTCAAGGAGATACCAGAGACTGAAGTAATGTACACACTGTTCTGTGCTGGGGTGGTAATTCTGAGCTGCTGGCCAGAGTAGTGACAAATGTGTGGTGGGTTGTTAGATGGTGGAAAAGGAGATGCACTGTGGTGTCCCCAGTGCCTCGCCTGCCCCCGTAGGAAATAATGTGATGCTATAGCAAAGCTTAACACCAGACCTTGGGAAGGTGAGTCTATTTCAAAACAAAGTCAACTTACTAACACTTTGATACCTGCATACCCATAAGCACCCACATGTGTGTCTGAGTGGTTTGTGTATTATTCAGGCACCAAAACGGGTGGTACCTGAGTATCCCAGCCAAGATTCCTTGCACTGATATGGAGGACAAGGGACACCCACTGTTGGGTTCCTGTGTCTCCTATGTTCTTCCCCAGTTGACAGCTACATGCGAGTTTTGCTCTTGTACCCCCAAAGAGCTGATAGTATTTTGACTCCGTCCTTTCCCACCTCTGCGTCATGAGGATTTTGTACTGTCACTTGTTTTCCTGATCATTGTGTCTGAGAGACCCTAGATGGATGTGCTGGGATCATCAAGACCTTGATGCCCTTAACATGTGCTGTGGGCTCTTATGATTCCACTGATAAATGCTTTCATTTGTTCTGATCTGTTCTTTGTGCTGACGTTATTACAATTCTTCAGGACATCAGCACTTTAAAAGAAACTGTGTTAAAAACTGCTCAAGACATGGTGTCCAATTCTGAACAGATGATCTGGGACAAAAGAAGTAAAATCTTAAAATTCCAAGTACCTTCCATAGCTTTTCCATTTTTGTAAGCCTACAGTAATAAAGCAATAGCCCAACTTTCTGCTGCCTAAATATTTTTAAGTAGTTATGTGGCATCTAGGAAAACAGATTGAAATATAGCTGATAGCAGAATAGCAACTAAACAGTGTTTGATATGGGGATACAGTAAAAAAATAAAAATAAACACCTGGTGTTTCAGACATATACTAGACAAATCGGCATGTATCTTAAGAGGAGAGTAAAAGGTATATTAGTGAAATAATTTCACAGTTTTACTTCAGCAACAAAATACAGCAACTGAGCAGAGACATCAGCAGTTAAGTAGACAACAAAGAGACAGTATTCAAGCAGGTAACCTTTAAAGTAGTAGAATTCTCTTGCTGAATAGCCTTTCCTTACAGAGCATTTATGGTTCCTGTTAAGGTGCCAGAGGCTACCCACAACAAAGGCTTGTGTGTATGTAGAAAGAAGTATATGATGTTTTCAATTATGTTTAATTTACTGGTCTTTGGAGGGGTAACCTACTTTTTCCTAGCAGATGTTTAAAGTTGCTTGCTCTCTTCTGGACTTCGAAGAGTCAAAAGAGTAGTCTGAGATCTCATCTGTGACTGTTGTTTTAGACAGCTTTGTGTTTTTTCCTGCATTTGAACTGTTTCCTGTTTTGGAAGACCTTGGCAAAAATTAAGATCAGCCTACCTTTCTGGTTTCTGTAGTCTTTATGCTTTTTATACTGTTATGAGGGGTACCTTCAAATCAGGTAATCTCAAAAGCAAACTAGCTAGGTTAAATACTGTTAGAAGGGCTGCCTTGATGCATTCAATTTCAGTAGCTTATGAGGTCTGCCCAAGTGCCTGAAGGATGGAGCATTTGGCTTTTTCTTCCTTTCATCGTTGTAGGGTCACTCACATGGGTGTTGACTTGGAAAGGCTGCCTTTTCCAACTTGCAAAGTTGTTTTTGTTCCATGACAAACCTTCTTTGCACAGGCTTGAGAAGTGCCGTCCATATTCTTTGATCACTTTGGATTGATGGATTTGTTTTGACTTGCCAGAAAGAGCTTTCCAGAAAGAGCTTTCCTGTTGTAATTAATCAGAACTCTTTCCTGTCCAACACCCCCATCTTCTTTGTTTCATCATATAAAGATTGGTTCATTTTGAAGAGTGAGTCCTTCTCTGTTTAGACAATACATCTTTTTCCCCTTTCTTAGGGTATGGATTTACGTACAGCTTGCTAATATTGAAAGAAGAAGCCATGTTACTGACTCAGTTTGTTAATCTGACATTGAATATTCTTTGCTGGATTTGTTTCCTGCTGTTTTTAGTGAGTTGAAACAGTTCAGTTGCACTGTATGTTAAGTACTAGAGTTGATTCCTAGTCCTCCCTGTAAGCTAGAGCCAGATCCAGAGGAGCTGCCCTTCTGTGTACTTTCTTTTCCTTCTCTGACAAAATACTGTTGTCTTTGCATGCTCGGAGCCTGTTTGTGTTGCTTTCCCAGCAAATGTCTGGGAATTTAAACTTTCTCATTCAGAAAGTAATGAGAAAATACTTCATTATTGCTTCAGTAACAGAACCTATAGTATGCCTAGTTGTATGGAAATGGTGTAGAAAATTATGTCTCAGATAAGGGATGGATGATTACTTCCAGGAGAGCACTGAAAATACTTCAAAATCTCTCCAAGGCTGTCAAGTCAGTGTTCTTAAGAGCAGTAAATTAGGAAGTTTTTACACAAGTTTCAAATTCCCACAGAAAATGAAAGTGAACTGACATTTTGTAAATCTTAAATCATTTGAGTAATGAATGAATAAAAGTTTTTTGCCTTTTTTTTTTTTAAAGACTTCACTGAAGTTGAATCCATGTTTTTCCCCTCACATGACAATACTCTCACTTACCTGAAGTAACTATAATTGTGCAGTCTGGAGTAGACAGTATGGTCTTATTAAAAGAAAGCACTTTAAAGTTTGCATTAGTTAGTTTTTCAGCATAATTCTGTATTGTTATAAATATGGAAATAGTCCGTGTTCCTACTGAAAAATACAGTTCTAAGAAGCCTGTTTCCTGTAGCTTTGTATGCCAGATGACTGACTTCCTTTCTTCACAGCCAACTGAAGTATACTTTTCTTTTATTTGTAGGCATTCAACACCTTTATTGATGATATATTTGCTTTTATCATCACTATGCCAACATCTCATAGGCTGGCGTGCTTTAGAGATGATGTCGTGTTCCTGGTCTATCTTTACCAAAGATGGTATGCCTTTCTTTAATAGTCATCAGAGTTTTCAGAACACTGTAGATGGTTGCAGCCTTATTGCTATAAGGAACTATGAAATAGTTTGGGATAGACTTCAAGCAGAATTTTTATACTGTAGTGATAGATAGTATAGTCTGGGTAATGGTAGCTGTATATATGCTTAGCGAAGAGTAGGTCCTGAACAGCAGATCTCAGTACAAATAAGAGGAGCAAAAGTGCTTTCCTGTAACTGACAGTATTCCTGGACCTTTTTTAGCCTGCTAAGAGAGTAGTCAAGAAATTTGTGTTCTGACAGCACTTACAGAATGTTTGTTAATTACCCCTTCTCCCTCCCCAAAACAGTAGTCCTCCTTTTCAGCAGATAGTTTCACATTTGCAAGTTACAAAAAAAAGTAACCTAAAACATGAATACCTGAAGTAAGCTGAAGGAGAGCAACACTTAAGCTTGTATTCACAAATCGTCTTAGAGGAGTTCTAGGCTTCTAACCTTTGCTGAGGGGCTACATGCCTATGTATGCTCAGTATCGGAAGCATGCTTTCCAAGTATCTCTGCAAGGCAGTAGCGAAGGATATTTTCTGATGAGGGATTGCCCTGCTCTGCTTTCCTCTTTATCTAGTTTCCAAACACAAGTTATCAGGTTCTCTTGTAAGTTGAGTATCTGGCAAGTTTCAGATTCTTTAAGTAACTGAAGTCAGATGGGGAAGAAGGCTATATGCCATGATCATTGAAATACTGTTGATAAGTGAAGCTACAGAAAGTGTATTCTTGTTCCCAAGAATAAATATTTAGATGTGGAGCAAACAAGAATTCTAAGCCTAGTTCACATTATACCAGAATGTGAACTTCGGTTTTAGGTTTATATAATAGCATGTAAATGTAGTAAAATAGGTCCCTTTCCAAGGTATTTTTCTAGACAAGCTCAAGAGCTCCTGATAGGGGCTGGACACTGGTTTTAAGTTTGAGAGATATCCTGGATTGCTTGGGAAACACTCCAGCCAAGCCTTATGGGAGCTACTACATCTCTTAAGAGGCCCTGTTATGAGGCGACGGTTTAAGCCTTAATGTGAAGAAGCTGATGTAGCTAATGTAGCTAATCTTTAAAACTGTTGTATTTTTTCCTGTAAGTGGGAATAGAGAATATGATGAGAAAGAAACTGGCTTTTAAAATTAAGTAGCACAGAACTGCTTAATTCCTCCAGGTAGCAGACAATGTTGTAACTAAGCATTTGTTTTTCCTGCCAGGCTTTATCCTGTGGATAAGAGCAGAGTGAATGAGTATGGAGAATCTTATGAAGAAAAGCCAAAAAAAAAAGCTCATAGAGAATAACTTAAGAATTGAAGAAGATTCTGACCCCTGGACTCTTACTGGCTTCATGTATTATTTGGTCTTAAGGAAGGAAAACTTATTTAATAAGAGTATTTTTAAAGCTTATGACAGAACTACATGGACAATACATCTTCTATATTGCCAAAATCTAGTTTTGATATCCTCCTATTTCAAGATCCTCTTTTGTCCTCACAAGGTCCACAGTCTGCCAGATGTCATTAAATAAACTTCCTGCATTTAAACTTCTCTTGGGTGAAAACCTAAGTGTCCTGACCATTGTAATTAATATCCAAATCTACGTTTTTAAGACAACTCACTAACTGGGAGTGTGGTGCCCATACCACTAAGCTATGAAAAGTGGAAAAAGGCAGTGTGTTACAGCAGAATCGAGCATTATTGCCAAACTGGAGGCTGTCATAAATAAAATGTATAATACTGGATTATACACTAATTACAAATCATTCTTCTTTGATAATGGAATTCTAGAAGTCATTATTAAAGTTGTGAGTTGTATGTGGGCATTTAAGTTCATAGCTTAAAAAAATTTTGTTGGAAGTACAGGATGAGAGAAGATGGAGTTGTTAAAATTCAAATTCTGCCACATTCTCAGAGGGCAGAGGGTTTCATTTGTCTTAAATGGAACGAAGATGTGAAAAAACTGTAACATGATTTCTTTCAATATGTATCCAAGTTTATATAAATCCTTCTGTATTGTTGACAAACCTTCTGAATTCTTGACATAGCCGGTATTTGTATAATGCAAATCATTGTTACATGCTAGGCAAGTCTCTTAACAGCTTAAATTCTTCATCGTGTGGTACCCCAGTAGCCTACTAGACCAAGTCTCTTATGTTTCAAAGGGAGTAATTCCTTGGTCTTTCCCTTCTCCCTCCCTGCCCCATTCTATTTATGAGATGAAACACATCATTCCAGTGGAATGATTTTGCTCAAATACAACACAGGTTCAACAAATGTTGTTGTTTAACCCGAGCTGGCAAGTAAGCCCCACACAGCCACTTGCTTACCGCGCTCCCCCCGCCCCGGTGGGATGGGGAAGAGAACAAGGAATTCATTCACCACTCCCCATGGGCAGGCAGGTGTTCAGCCACCTCCAGGAAAGCAGGGCTGCATCACGCGTAATGGTGACTTTGAAAGGAAGACACCCTTGCTCCACCTGTCCACCCTTTCCTTCCCTCAACGTCCCCCCTTCCTTCCCCCAGCTTTATATACTGAGCATGATGTCATATGGCATGGAATATCCCTTTGGTGAGTTGGGGTCAGCTGTCCCAGCTGTGTCCCCTCCCACCTTCTCACATACACCCAGCCTACTCGCTGGTAGGGTGGTGCGAGGAGCAGAAGAGGTTTTAACTGTGTGAAAGCACTGCTCAGCAATAATGAAAACATCCCTGTATTATCAACACTGTTTGCAGCACAAAGGCAAAACATAGCCCTGTACTAGCTACTATGAAGAAAAATAAACTCCATCCCAGACAAAACCAGCACAACTACCTGGATACAGAGAAAAAAACCCCAGCCTGGTGAAGAACAGGTATATTCCTTTCACACAATTTAGAATCCATTTTCCATGGGAACAGTTCATTAACGGAGTATTTTGATCTGTTTCTTTCAAACTAGTAAAAATAATCAGGTTGAATAATTATGCCAAAATTGAGACGTCACAGCTATATCTAGAAACCATGGTTCTAGATTTTTAAAAGCAAGTTCCTTAGTAAGTGAAATACAGAGTGCATTCCTTTTAGCAGCAAATAAAATGCAATTTAAAAAAATCTAAAAGGCAGAATTCTAGTTTCCAGTTCTAGTTTTGCTTTAGTCAGTACATTTATAAATTAAGCCTAATGATTCTTAAGTTTCTTTATTAATTGCATGCTGTTTGTGCAAGGCTGTTTATCATTGGTTGAAAATATTAACTGAATATCCTTGAAGAGCACAGTTCTACTCCTGTAGTCTGTAACTACTTTATGAAGTGGATTTTATCCAGTTCTGATACTGCAGAAGCCTGAATGTATAAGTACCTGGGTCCAAAAAAGATACAGAAGTGTGCCTAACCTCTTTTGTCCACAAACTATAGGCTTTCTTCCACTGAAGTCCTCCTTACGTGCTACTGGCAATGGAAAGGAGTCTTGAAGTGAATATTTAACTCACATTCATGTTAAGGTCTCATTACACTGTTAACTGGAACTAAGCAGGACTGTTGATTTTAGCATTAAATATGCATAAATAAGTCTGTGCAAAACCAGGGATGCATTTGCTATATCTTGTACCTGTTTTGGATTTGTTTGGAAGGAGATCTTTGCTGTTAGGCAGACTAATTTGGGACTCCTATTTCATCATAATAGTTAAATTAGCGTGTGAAAAATTTTCCTGGTATAAATAATGCATCTAGCAGATTCCCTTTTTGTGCCAGTTCAAAACAATCAAGTTACTGGTTCTCCTAGAATAGCTTCTGAAAGTCTAGAATACCATAATGGGGTATTCCTAATGTTCCATCACTCGTTTTTGTAAGTAGCTGGTGAAAAATCACTCTTGCACCTTTACATACTGTGAGTTTCACTCTTGCACCTTTACATACTGTGAGTTTATTGGTCTTCTGTCTTGCATTTCTGATGACAATGACCCCATAATATCATATACAGTAGTCATAAAGAATATAAAATTAGAACATTTTAAGTCTTTAAAATGGGAGAGACTTTCCTGCTCAAGTCATTGTTTTATGCATTCCATTTCCAAATAAAAGACACGGCGTACAGGATAGAGAATTACCTTTTATTGTTGGAAAGATGGTGACAAGCTACATAAGCAGTGTGACTTTGGAGGTATTAAATGTTCTAACTTTCTAGTTGTGGAAATGACATCAGCTTAAAAACAAAAATGTGGTTCTATATGCGATTAATGCAGAAGAAAAATTCCCTATATATAAAATTTCATTGAATATATTGCAGCTCATGCCAGATTCGGTATCTGTGATCTATTTAAGAGTTCAAGAGTAACTAAGAACTTCCTCACTTCTAATGAGGTTAACTGTGGTAAGCAACTTGGTGACCATCTCACACTCTCATCTTCATTAGGCTTGTAATGAAGTGATTTTAGGGTTGGGGGTGGGGCTGCTGTGGAGTTCATTGGACAAATCTTCATAGGCTTCTGGAAGATGCTCTTGCACCGTACTTACTAGTGCATAGCAGCGTATCTCTAAGGACGGAATCGAAGAAAGGCAGCTGACAACACTTTCTGAGTGCGTACACGACCTGTGGCTCAGTGCCCCTTAGCTGTGTTACGGAGACCGCGCTGTACTCCCGCACAGTTCCCCCAGCTCCCTACCGGGCTCCTTCCTGCTCACCTTCACCTGCTGCTGACTGTGTTCTCCAAGAGGTGACCTCACCATAGAATCACAGAATCTTTGAGTCGGAAGAGACCTTCTGCCCCTACGGCTTTTTTCCCTGGAGCCACAGAGCAAACTGGGTTACAAAATGGGCAGCAGCACAGACAGTTTTCTCTCATCGTCAGAGCTCAAGAAGCCTGCTCTGCTCTGCTGCTGTCGCTGCTAGAGCAGGTGCTGTATCCGCTGTAGACAGCACAAGTATACGTTCCTTTTGATACAGCATTCCACTGCAGTAATTGTCAGCTCCAGCATCTACGCCTCGGTGCCAGAAGCATTAAGACAGATAATTCTGTAATTTGTCTGCTTTTAAACACCGCATTTTACATTTTTTCCATCAGAAGACAAATCCCACGTTGAGGAAGTGAAATACAATCACGTACTAGTAATGCCGGTCCTCTTTACGTTACAGCTTTTCAATATCACAAGATCTAAAATAACACAGGTGGGAAGGGACCTCAGGAGGATATCCAGTACCAGCACAGTCTTCCTGCCCTGTCCCTTACAGACTAATCAGGCTTTCCTGACGGTCCTGTGTAAAACCGTCTGAGTGAATAGATCTAGCTGTAGGAGTTGAGAAATAAAACCAGAAAGAGCCCAACTTTCCCAGATGCCCAATGACAGTCTCTGACTGTTTCCCCTCTCGCGCTAGGAGAGGTTTGGTTCTGTATCTGTGAGGATCTGTGCACTTTTCCAGGGGTTACAGACACATTTAAGAATTTCCTCTTAGTACAGAGGAGGACCTGTGATGTCTCCCATGTTTTCATCCATCTGTGTTAAATACCACTGCTTCTTCTTAAGGATAGCTGGAGCTAATCAGTTTGCTCTAGTTATTCCTATATGCAACTCTCCTATTTCTTGCTGCTCCTTTTAATATTGGGTCCTGATTATTGATGGTTGGACTTGATGGTATTAAAGGTCTTTTCCAACCTTAATGATTCTGTCCCCCAAAATACTGTATTCTTTTTTTTTTATCCTAACCCCCACCCTGATGAGTATACCTGCATCAAAAGGAACAAAATACTTTAGATTCAAGAGACAAACACACTAACTGGGGAATTCTGGCTCATATCTGCTTATGTTTGGTATAAAGAATAGAATATCTTCTCCCCTTCTCTTCCCAGCTTTCTGTTTGGCAGTACTCCGTCCTTTTAGTCCTTGCCATATGATAACCATAAAACTTCTTGCAAGCTGTTTTGGTATAGTATGTACCAGCCTCTCAGTTTCTGGCCCCTAACATTCTCCTTGGTCATCCACAGCTCCATAAGCCTTATTAGCTTAAGGCAGAGGTCTTTGATGGTTGCCTTTATGATGATTTGTCATCCTTCTGTTCTAACGGAGTCTTACACGCCTGCAAAGGCTCATGAGCTATCTTGCTTTTATTTCGGACTTTGAAAATTTCACTCTGAACATTTTTATTAGGCATTAAGTGCCTCTAGTAGTCTCTAGCCACAGGGTAGTCTGTGTTGAGCAACTTATAGCCAGGTAGATGTTTCATTGCCGTGGTTCATCTGCATGCTCTGGTCCAGCTAACCACCTGGCCACTGAAGCAAGAGCCCTGGAGCAGCGACTTGGGAAGTGCAGCTACGCTCTTTGCTCCATTCAGAGTACCAGTCCTGGCCCAGCTCCAGCTTAGTGCTACATAACGCTCAATGCCTGGCTCGTGGCCAGCATGCTTTGCCTCCTTGCTGCCCTGCAACCTCCCATCTACATCCTTGCAAGCTTCAGCTCAAAGAGTCATCATAAATACCTAGTTTGGAATGACTTCCACAGGATCTACTGGAGTATAGCCTCTTTTCCAACTGGACGTAGCAATTTACATTTCCTATTCTGAAATTCTTAACTCTTGCTACAGCTGCTGTTTAGTCCCCAGCAGAAGCAGACCTTCCATTTGCCTAGTGCTGACCATGAGAACAGAAAGGAATAAGTGGTGTTTCATTTGGTAAAACCAACAAACCCTTCATCAACTTGCTTGAGAAAGAACTGGTTAGCCTCACCCTCTCTGCCATCCCAGAAGTTGTTACAAAGATACATAGGAGAAAAAAA